TAAAAAATACTGAAACTGAGAACACAGGAAAAAAATGCCTTTGTGTTTTCTGGGAGCGACTTTCCTCTAACCCACCCCTTCTGCTCAGGGTTAGCCTGTGACTCCCGGGAATAACCACTGCCGTCTTCAGGCAGGATGACATCTATACCCTGCATTTTGTTCCCACTGAGAAATCTCAAAGAATCGACCAAGTGCCTCTGCTGCCTAGTTAAGTATTTAAGAGTCCTAGGTGCACAGAAATCTTTCCTCCTCCCTAAGATCAAGGGTCTTTCTCCACTTAAAGAATTACACTATCATCCCACCTTTTTTTACAGTCACGTATTTGTACTTATCTTCAAGAGAGCAAAGGAAGAATTATTTAATTTTGATGCTCAGGTCTTTAAAGCACATACAGTTTGACAGGAACATTGTGTGTGACACTGTATGGCTCATAATGCGTTTGTTCCTATCATAACGGAAAAACACAAACACATAAATCCTATTTTCTTACAATAACGCATTTTTGTTCAAGATAAAAGAATGGGAATACAGCATATCTGTGTAGGTTCAAAATGTAACACCTGTGAAGTTACTAATGTCCTAAAATAACAAGTGTGAGGCTAATGTTCTCACTGCCACCCTCTAAGCTAGAGGCCTATCCTTGGTTGAGTGCGGAAAATATCACCAAGGAAGCTTTACACACACACCCTTATCATTCCTGAGTTAGTCACCTGGTACCACTCAGCGGTCTCTGCTCTGCTTAGTCATCTCCAAATGAGAACACAGAGTGAGACCCAAATTTATGCAGCTCCAAGACCCGCCCCCTCTTTTTTTTTTTTTTTTTTTTTGGAGGCAGGGTCTAGCTATGTAGCCCAGGTTGGGCTCAAGTCGACAATCCTCCTGCCTCAGCCTCCCCAGTGCTGGGATGGCTGGCATGTACCACCAAGCCAGATTTCTGGGAGGCAATTTAAGTTATTCATTAGGCTTCCCACATACCCAGCAGATGACTTATGAGTTGCATCCTTGTCTTCAGAATGGAATAGCTACGACGGCATTGAGTTATGGAAGCCAGAGTTCCTTGCTCTAAGACCTTTCCCAAACCACAGGCGACAGCAGCTTCTGGAAACCAACACTGGCACCTATGCTAACTCATCCATAGCCTAAAACCTGGGAAGAGGTTAGCAAGATGCAGCTGAAGGCGGGAGCAGAAAAGCAGTCAGACCTGCGTATCTGTCACTGAGATTACCCATCAATTCATTCTGGCAGGAGACAGCAGAAAAACACCTTTGTAGGACCTTGAAATAATCACTCCTAATGTTTCTAATCTTTCTTTCAAGACCTGAGTGAGAGTCCAGGCGTGATGGCACATGCCTATAATCCCAGCACTCGGCGAGGGCAGGAAGACTGCCTTAAGGTCAGGCCTTCCTAGGCTACAAAGTGAAGCCTACATACATAGAAGACCCTGTCTCAAAACAAGAACAAAAAGGGCTGGGGATTTAGCTCAGTGGCTCAGTGCCTGCCTGGCAAGCATGAGGTTGGATTCGATTCCCAATACTGAAAAAAAAACAAAACAAAAAAAAAAAACAAAGGAAGAAAAGAAAAGAAAGATAAACAAAACAAAAACAAAGAAACCTGAATGGAGAAAAATGCCAAATAAAATGAAGTTTGGGAAAAAGTAAGTTTTTCTGAGATTGTCATAATGACTTCTCAGGAGTCTTACTTAAAAGTGGGCTGAGATGTACAGGCTTGACCCTAATGCCCTGGAGATTAGGTCTCTCCCTTTCACATGTGCTGAAACGGAAAACGTGCTATTAGCGCAGGCTCTTGGTCTTTGTTCAGGCTGCTCTACCTGCGGCACTCTGGTCGCCACTGTGCGGGGAGTGTGACCCTTCTGAAATGAGATCTGTCCCCACCCTCACCTGACAAGGCACATCACACCTGCTTAGCAGGAAGCGGGAATCCCCCACCCAGGGACTGACACAATCACCTAAGTGAGTCCAAGCAGGTGGAGGGAGGGGTGCAGGGTGGGGGGGTGTCTTCTAGGACAGCGCTGGCCAGGCAGCAAGGGCGCCGATGAGTGCTGAGTGAGCCTGGGTGCTTGGGGAGGGAAGCAAGGGTAGGTGTGTGGGTGTGCGCGTCTGCCCAGCCCACCTCACCCCAGATCCAGCTGCATGCACAGAAAGACAAGAGGCTGTGACCACCGCAGCAGACGTTCTGAGACCTCTTCTGGCTGACAGCCTGACAACTGCCAACAGCCCAGGTCCTCAAGGGAGATATTATGGGACAAATACCATGTGAGTTACAGTCACTCAAAGTTCTTTTCCAATGTGCTTCCTAATCCAATGTTTCCAAGCACTTTGCATGGGAACTAAGGTTCATTGATGCCATATCCCTGCTGCATCACCAACGTTCACAGTCTGAAAATTCCCCATATCCAGAAAAAAAGAAACTGCTATTTTTAGGGGAAGCGTAGGGCTAGAAGTTAAGAGACTGCTTTTGATAGCTACCCTTAGGTAATAATGGTCAGCATAAAGTAGTATTTGTTTATATACTTAACATCTCCCTTAATCATCAGGGGGAGTTACCATCATAAAATGGAAGCTTAGAGACAGTAAACTGAAGCAAAAAAAATTGTTGAGATCTTCTTCCATGCATTTGTTCAGTGTGCACACTTAAGGAATTGTCCAGCAGGATCAGGAACCAGCCAAAGGCCATACTCAGCGGCTAGCACTGGCTAACCTAGTTGAAGATTACCATCATCAGCAAATGAATGTCACATCACTTGGCAGGCTCTCCTGACAATGCAATGGATAAGAGAAGGAAAACCCTGGGATGTTATGGAGATAGAACCCAGAGCAGACAGCAGGGAGGGAGTGGGACTGAAGACTTCTCCTGTGACTCAGACCAAAGGACAGGAGTGCATATTTCCAAGATGAGCCACAGGCATTCCACTGGAGAAGTGAGGGTTTGTCAGATCGGCCCAGCTGCTGAGAGAACACTAAATATAGGGACTAAGAACATGTCTTTTGGGAAGGGAGGCTGGAAGGAAGGGGGGTGTTGGAAGAGATAGGGCACCTCAGATGGTCAAGGCAAGGTTATCTGTAAGTTCTTATTTTCAACAGTGGATACTTGAGCTATATGTTTTTAGAGGAGAAATTTCCCTTTCATTAAAGAATATGGAGAAAATCTGTTATTTTATTAAAGGCTGAATCTCACAAGTTTATAAAGGATCATTGTTTTATTATATATGTGCTGCCTAAGCAAGCACAAGAACATTGTTTTAAAATCTGGAAATGAAAGAAAATGTTTGACTTTACAGTCATCAGTGGCTCTGAGTTAAAGAATTATAACTAAAATATGACTGAAGAATAACTTTTAAGTGGCAAAACAAAAACAAAAGATCAAGATTACTATTACTAACACAACTGTAAAAATTTTAATGGAAGAGGACACAAAATGACAAATTATGATCGAAAGGACAAATTATGATTATCACAGAAGCCCATGCAAACACATTTATTTAAGAATCTTATTTTCTCTGTACATCAGAATCCTTGCTTCCACCCTTCCAAAGATCCACTTTTTAGGGGGAAATTGCTTTTAGAAACTAGATTATGAAGCAAGCTTATGTCACTTTACACATTTATGTTTTATTTTTCCACGTCCTATCTCAATTTCCTGGGCAATATTTGAGGTTTTTCTTACAGCCTAAGACTATTTGACTTAGAACCAAAGACAGTATTGCCATCTCCATTGTCTAAAGACTTTTTCTTTCCCACACCCAGGGGCAGCTGCAAGAATCTCCAACACGGAGTGGCACCTGACTTCGGCCGCAATTCCATGCATGTGGCCTTAACACTGTCGCCTTCATAGAGCTGTCATTAAACTACTGCCACAGGGAAATCCAGAGAGGAATAAATCACAGCCACCTCCTCTCCAGCAACCTCAAGGTCATCCTCAGAAGGGAAAATGGAAGTCATGCAACACTTCCCCTTTCTAAATCCTCCAGACAATTTTTACAAGAGTTCAAATAGGGACAAGGGAGTGGGCCTTCCATACATTGTATGACTGGTGTGGACACTCAAATCACAGCAGGGGACTCCTGTGGAGGTTTGTATTTTCCTCTTTTGGGAAAAGGATTACTAAGGATTAAACCCAAGGTCTTCACACAAAGCTCTATCTTTTTTTTTTTTTTTTTCTTTTTAATTTTAAGACAGGGTCTTGCTCAGCCACTAAGCTGTCCAGGTTAGGCTCAAACTTGTGATCCTCCTGCCTGTGCCTCACAAAGTTCTGGACTCCATACCTGGCTGCAGTGTGCATTTACTTCCTGGTCTTTAACTTTTTAGAGCTAACAGAAGTAGCTAAAACTGCTAAGCTGGTGACAAAGCCAATAAACAGGGTTTGTCAGACATACAGATGTAAATACGGAGAAGCACAGAGCCTGACTTTGTTCAAGGTCAAACCACAAGTCAATAGCAGGTGGAACCCCTGCAGTCCGGGCTCCTCTCCCTGGGCACAGCTGGCCTGTCTCAGTGCTTCTAGTCATCTCTAAAAACGTGTTAACCTTTCAAAATGGGACTGTCTTTTCTACAGGATTCACCTGAGCCAGCCCCTTGGAGAGTGAGGTGTGGCACTGAGAGCCAGGAAGGTCCCTTTGGTGATCCTAAGGGATCATGCCTTCGGGGCAACAGGCCCAGAGACCCCGGGGCCTCTCAAGTCTCGGGGCAGATGTGCTTCATCACAGAGCTGGTGAGAGGCAGGAAGGGGCAAGGACTGCCCTGTCACCCTCACTCCAGAGTTGTGTAAATAAGACGACTCCAACCCCAGGAGCTCAGCCTGCAATGCGGGCAGGAGATATGGCTGCAGCAGAGATAAATTCCTATTTTTCCATGCTGGGTTGAAAACTGTATTATGGAACAATTTTCAAAGGTTTTTTTTTTTTTTTTCTTTCGTCTTCTCAATTGAAAACAAGGACAGCCCCTCTACCTCTGAAAGAATAAAGCCTGTTTCTGTGGACTCACCTGGCGGGGCCACCCGGTCCTGGTAGGTTGGTTTCAGTTCGCTGATGGTCAGCAGCATCACCTGGATGGTTCCGATGAAGATGCCAGCCAGGCAGCCATAAAATATCACGTAGAACAGGAGGATCTTAACTATGAGAACAGACAAGCACAGGCATGACGGAGTCACAGGAGCACAAGGAAAGCCTAACCTTCCCCGGGAGGAACCGACTCCCCCACCCCGCCCTGCAGTACATCCCCTGCCTGCACTGATCAGGAGAGTGAACCTCACTCTTGTTAGGAGGCTGGAGGTGGAGAAAGGTTCAACTACAACCGAGATTCTGTTGGAAATACATTTACTCCCTAAAAAGCCAAAACGAAAACAAGAGGATCACCAGGAAAACCCTAAAGCCATGTTTGAGTGCTTACGCAATACAGTTAAAATATAACAACACAGTCCCTGGAGACACGTCTTCCTTGCTTATCCCTTGACATTAAATACTGCAATCGGGCTCTTCTGCTTCTCCATTTGCTTAAGTGCTTGAGAGTTTTTATGCCAGGACAGATGAGAGAGCAGTGAATGCAGAGAAACCTGCTTTCCTCTGTTACTGCGTTACCACTCTACCTCTAATGTGTGTAACTGGCTGGGCACATTTTCTTTTTCTTGGCAGGGGGGTGGGATGATAAACAGGCAAACAAAAGGAAATCATACATAAAGCTGGCCCTTCACAGTTCTCATTTCATCTCCTGAGTCATGATTGACTTGATGTCCAGCATTTGCTTTTTTTCATAGTTCAAAGAGTAACAGAGCAGAGGATGAAGCAGTTGTAAATGGCGGGGGGAGGGAGTCCAAGAACTAAAATGAGCTATCAGTTACTGGTTCACCAGGATTAGGTCCCAGATTAGCTAGAGTAACACACTGTACTAGGCACCGCCTGGCAGTCCTGCTGGCCGAACAACCTGACGTGAATGCAAAAGTGGGAACAACCTACTGTAAGGTATGGACTTAGACACAAAATTGCACAAAACAGACTTAGATTACTTCCAAAAAGATCCTTGTCTCATGCATTCAACACCAGAGTCTTTAAGGCAAAGCCACAGAACAAAAAGCTATTACTAAAAAGAAAATACACTGTAAGGAGTTGGATGCAGGGGTGGAGGGTCAGCACCAGACTGTGGAAATTCATCAAGTGGCTCCCCCCATGCATCCAAAAGCCCACTCTCCAATCAGGAATAGTTCAGGATGATCATGCTATGGAGTTGTTAAAAACAAACGAAACACAGAAAAGGCTCCACAAAAGTGATTATGAATAATCCTTTTTCTCCTCTATTAAAGAACAAAGAAAAGGGCAAAGGCAAAAGCCAAGATAAGGCAGACTGAAAGGTTGCATAACCATATCGCAGAGCTAAAGAGCTGCCCAGCTTGAGGGCTCCCTGCAGCAGAACAAGGGTTAAGTGCTGCATACTGTAACCAGGCAGCAGTAGGCAAATGGCAAGGCTGTGACGTCAAGCGATCTGGAAAATTTTTCCAGTGAATGCCCTGAAGAGGTGCAAGAGTTGGTATAACACAGTCAGCAAGAGAGCTCCATAGCCCTCCACAGTCTCTTCCTTCCCACTCTCCTCTTTTTAGCTTCAATCACATTTGTTTCTTCTAATAACTCCAAGGTTTCTACGTGCAGTCCTCGGACTCTAAATCCTACTTCTAACATCACAGGAAGCTCCACAGTTGATGCTACCATTTAAAATACAAACAGAGCAACAGAAAAATAAGCCATTTTGCAAGCACACCGACTAAACTCAAGAATGCACAGCCTTTCCATTCTGCCTACTGGACACCCTAAGAGAAGGCAGAAATTTTCCTCTCCAAAATGTTATTTAGCAAAATCTCCCAGTTACTCTGTGAGGTCACCTGGCAGCGGGTGTGGCAGGCCTCTGAGTGGGCTCCCCCAGACACAGGCCACCAGGGGGCTGTTTCAAAAAAGAAAAAGAAAATTGGCTGGAGGATAAGTAGCAGAGACTACCTGGGTGGCATTATGGAGTAGATGGGCAGCAGACTTTCCCTTGTAAGCAATTTTTCTTCCTTTCTTAGTAAAGTGAAAAAGGTTTTCCATTAGGAAAAAACTGTACCCTTCAAAAGGTCATAAGCAGGGAAAAAAGGCATCTGTGCCCACTTGTAAATATAAAACCCACCAATGCTTGTATTAGCTTAATAAAAAGGTAGAAAGCACAGAGTGATTTGTATGTTGTGATTTCTCCACCAGGTGACAGGCCTGAGTTTCCTGCATCCATCTTGGTTTAAGGAAAAAACCTACCTATAAGCAAAACTGAGCCAAGGGCATTTTGCCCTCATCCCAAGGGCATCTGTGTTGGGCCCAGAGATGGCAAAAGGGCATTTTATCCCCATAAGACAGCCATCTCAGCTACTTCCTCTGCCTAGGAGAGGCTCTCTCAAGCCTCACATTGCCAGAAAGGAGCAGACATGTTAGCACAAAATGAAAACCTGCAGTTTTAGTCCAGCACCTGCACCTTGGAAAATGGAAGAGACATCTGCACTCGCAAATCAGTGTGTTGGTACCCTGCATGATATGACATCAAGACAGGCATTAACTCTCTCCTAGTCGCGAAGGTGCTGTTCCATTAAATCTTGGCTTAAAGAACAAGCTGTCCATGCTGCCTTACCCTCTAAAGCAAATATTATCTTTAGAAGAAACATGGAATTGGAATGAGGAAAGAAATACATTTACGATGGGGAAAAATACTAGAGGGCAAATTTCACAACGTGCCCGGAGTTCATGCAGCCACTGCCCCTCAAACCTAGAGCAGGTCAGACCACTAGGGACAGAAGCCCCAGCTGACCCAGGTAGGAGGCCCTGTTCCGCAGTGCTCCCCTGGGCCTTGCTCAAGTTGCAAGGAGTTGCTAGGCAATGGCCTAGGCCAGGAGCTTTGCACCCTGCACACCTCACAGTGCTTCAGAGTTTCCCTTCCATATCAAGGAAGCACAGGGAGCCCTTGTGCCCGAAACAGAGATCAAAATCTCACTCCTCAAAAAAAAAAAAAGGAAATAAAAGGCCATTACACTACAAACTCTCTTTCTCATGGCTCAGGGATACCTGTGCCTCCCAGGAATGCCAGGGAGGTTTCACCTTGCCTAACCTTGAAGTGTGATGCATTATTAACCCTTCACTTTTCAGCCTTGAGAGACTCACTACAGGGAGCAATTTTTTTCTTTACAAAAATCATATATTCCAGCTTCTTGCATTTCAAAATGTCAGCCAAGTACTATTTCCCTGACTCATTCTTCTACTGATTCCCACAGATCCTAACAGACAGAAATACTGCAGAGGCCCTCTTTCAGGGTTCCCTTATGGACTGCAGAGGTGGTGGTGGTGGTGGTGGTGGTGGTGATGATGATGATGATGGAGGGGGAGGGGCAGCGGTGCAGCATGGGGGAGTTTTCTCTCCCTTCTGCAGTCACGACTCAGGGATTTGCCTACAACTCTTGTGCCCTTCAAAATGACCTTTAAAAAAAAAGGCACCCTTCCGGGCTGTGGAGTGGCAAAAATTCAGTCAGGTATCTAATTTTCAATGGGGTGGGGGAGTCCATCCAACCAAGCAACAGGCTGTAGAAAATCTCCTAAAACCTGCTGTTTCTGTATTTGTGCCATGTACAATATCTATTACACTAATCCCTGTCATCAAACCAAGCTACTGGGATGCACCTGTCCACAGAGACCTTGAAAAACAATCAAACTTGGACATATTTCTGGCCAAGGCTTAAACTCAGGCAGGAGCCTGGATAGGGAGCTTGCCGGGTCCACTTCTGGGCCATTTCTCTGGGCTGTGATGACTCCAGTCGTGGCCGTGGAACGCCGCAGTGTGCATGGATCCCTCCTCCCGTTCCCTGTCCTTGCTCCCTCCCAGGTACCTACGTGTGACGACAAGAAAGATGCTACGGCCCACAGCCTCGCCTACATCCCACCCGACTACCTCTAAAGCTTTCCCTTGCAGCTACAAACCTCACGTTTGAAAGGACCCGGGATGTGGCCAGACAGGGGGACAGACCTAATCTCCTGGAGCCTGAGCTTTCCTGGAAGGGAATGGCTCGGATGCACAGAAAGAGACCCGACCGCGGCGGTGCCCACGGCGGCGCTCCGCCCGGCGCCCCCCGCCTGGGGACCCAGCCCGCGCCCCAACCCGGCACTTACACCAGCTGCCGCCGGTTCGGCCCAGGAACTCCTTCTTCTCCGAGTTCCAGATAAACTTCTTCCAGCTGCCCTCCTCCTTGGCTTTCCCGCGGGCCATGGTGGCGGTCGGCGGCTGCAAAGGCAGACACGCAGCTCGGGCGTCCCCGGCGGGCTCTCCGCAGGCTCACGCCGCGCTGCGGTGCCCGAAGCCCGAGTGCGCGACGCGCGCGCCGGCCGGGGCGGGACCGGGGCGGGACCGGCCGCGCCGACTGCGACTGCGGTGCGCGCCACGCACGCTCTCGCCCGCGGGGCTCGGGGTCTCGCGGACCCGCCGCTGCCGCTGTAGCCCGGGACGCGCGCGGGGGGTCTCCGCCTTCCGCTGCTTCAGTAGGGACGCACCAGGGGCAAGCGACAGTGGGCGAGACCGACAGACGGACAGAGCGGTGGACTGCAGGCCCAGCACGCGCACGCACCGGCCAAGAGCTTAGAAGGTGGCTGAGGGCGCACGCCCCACCTCTACATATACCGCGCCTCTGCGCGGGGCCCGCCCACCAGCTGCACGATGACCAATCGCCAGCGCGGGGCGGAGCCTGGTCTCCAGGGGGCGGGACGCGGGCCCAGCACAAAGGCTCCGGTAGATGGTGAGAGGGCGGCAGGAGAGTGCTGGCTGCTGGAGGAGCGGCTGGGGCATCCGGAGGGGCGGAGGAGGGGCAGAGGCGGGCGGGGCGAAGAAGAGGGGAGCCCTCTCCTCCCCTCCAGCCTGCCCTCTTACCTCCCTCGTGCCCTGGCTGGAGGCCCACTCATCAGCCCGGCTGGGACAAGGTCACCCCAGCACCGGCCGATCCAGCACCTGCCGCCCCCGCCCCCGCCGCAGTTCCGGCCCACCCTCTAGGTCCAGGCCCGCCCGGCTGCCGGCTGTCCTGGTTGCGCACTGCTTCTGTGTGCGGTCTGAGCCACCTCGAGCGGGACCGCTGCCAGACCCACCCAGCGCTGGCGTAGGGCTCCGGAGGGCCCTCCCAGAGTCGTCCTAGCGGAGCCGGTTGAGGTCCAGGACAATGATAACCTGAGACAGTGCCTCCCTGGGGTTAGCCTCTGGCACTCCCCTCCCTGGGTGGCCCCGGTGTGCTCCTTGGCAGGTCTTTCTGCCCCTTGACAGGAGGTCTGACCACCGACCAGCGTCCTACACCGGGGCCTCAGTGCACATGGGAGGACTGAGCTCTTAGGGCCAGACGTGGCTCAGCCGACCTGTAACGCAGTACCCTTCCTGACCTTTACCCTGCGTCCTAGAGAAGCCACTCTAGTGCTTCCAGGGCCTCCAGGGAGACAGGAGCAGCCTCATAAGTACACCCAGGCAATGACACGGCAGAAAACCTGGGCACGCTCAAGCCGCTACAGAGAAAACCTGACCCCGTGGTCAGGGGGCCACCCATGGAAAGGATAGGCCTCAGAGTGTTTCTTCACCAGGGAGATGCTGCTAAGGCCACTCTCTGTCCACAAGGTCAACCGTGAGGGCAACACTGCAGGCTTAAAACAAGCCTGACCAGGGATACTGAAGAAGCTCTCTGGAGGCTCATGTATAGGACCTGGACCAGCCCGATGAAGCCAGAGTGAGGGGAGAGGCAGCCACGTGCTTAGCCAGCCCCAGCCACTGCTGCAGACTAAGTCAAGGACAAAGGTGCGTGCCCAGTGTTGAGGTGCTCCTGCTTGCCCCTGCAGTGTTAGTGTGGAAAACCCCTGAACTGGTGGAAGAACCAAGAGAAGCTGGGCATGGTGGCTGCAGGCCTGTAATTCCCAGCACTTGGGAGGCTGAGGTAGGAGGATTGTTCTGAGTTGGAGATAGCCTGGGCTACAAAGTGAGCTCAAGGCCAGTCTGAACTTCATACTATGACCCTGTCTCAAAAAAAAAAAAAAAAAAAAAAGAACCAAAGGAAATGGCTAGGCTTCAGTCACATCGTGCAGGGGTTCCTACAGGAAGGGTTTGTTGGTTCTATTTGTTGGGTGCCCACCCATATAAGAGGGAAAGGACTATGAGAACAGAATCGGCCCCACCAAGGGAGGGGGTGAGCAAAGAAAGAAGAGATAAAGTGGCTGAAGGACACAGAGTCCTCTTCTTGAGCTGGCCTTTCATCTCTGTCTTCTCTTCCCCAGAAGAAGCATGTGGTAAAACCAAGTTTTAATTAGACCCTCTTTATTTTCTGAAAAAAGAAGTGTCCTACCTGAACTCTCCAGGGGTAAGGCAAATCCAGGTATAGGGATGCTGTGGCTGCCAAAGATGAGCATTCTCTCTTGCCCTCGACCTACTGTCTCACTCTGAAAGACAGCTCCCCCTCACATTACAGTCCTGTAGCTTTGCGCTTTGCCCCTTGCTACCTGTGAACTGTCCCTCAGATTTTGAGGAAGTCCCAGAGAGTTTTGCACAGCATTTCATTCCAGTATCTCTAACTCCAGCCAGTCCTGGAGTTCCTAGATGCTCCCATGTTTGCACCCCAACCTGCTATTGCTGCTGGAGAACACATGTTCAGCCCCAGGGGTCACCACACCCTGCTCCTGCCATCTTGCCCTGACCACCTGGAAGGGTCTCATCACCAGCAGGACAGACTCATTCATGTTCCCAGCTTCAGTACTTGTCCACTGCGTGACCTTGGGCAAGTCACTTGTCTCCTGGGCTGTCCTCTTAATCGTAAAATTGGAGTGAAATATTGTAGCAAAGACTATGAGGCGGGCGTGGGAAAGCATTCAGCATTGTGCTGGGTGCAGAGTGTGTACTGTTAAGTAGCTGGCTTAATTATAATTCCATGCTGTATTTCCTCATGACCTTGTCTAACCTTGGGGCTGTGGCGTGGACTTTACCACTTTCTCACTGCCAGTTAGCCCCTGCCAGACTCTGCATTCCCATCAGGCCCTAGAAGGTCACCCTGACTATTGCCCCACCCTCTAGGCTACCTTTCCCCTTGCTTCCCAACCTGCTTCCTGCTCTGTGACCTTCTCTCTAACTCAAGTAATGAACAACTCAGGTACATAATGTGCCTTCGAGTTGGACTGGGTGGGGCCATGTGCCAAGCCCCTCAGTGCAGGGTGCTATAGCAACAGCAGGTGAAAGCAAAACTTGTGATCTGTGGCTGGCCAGAGAGCAGTGCAGGCCTTAGGGAACCAAGAGAGCTGTCCTTTGCATGCCTGGAGAAGGAACATCTCTGCGGGAGTAAGGGCTTCTCTCCAGGAGGAAGTAGGAAAAAAGTCTTAGCTAAGAGGTAAAGACTCACTCACGGGGAGGAGTGTGATTTATCGTCCTTTTCTCCAGGCAGCCAGGGAAGACGGTTGTTTCTGGAGTCCTGTGATTGATGCTGCCCTAGCTAATGCTGTGTGTGGGTGGATAAAGGAGAAGCAGCGGAGAGCAGCAAGGACGGCAGATAGTGAGGGGTCGGGGCCTTTGCTGAGGGAGAATGGCAGATTCCAAGGCAGAAGCAACCAGATGCTATTGGGATACAGGCAGAATCCTGGAGGGAGAGGTGGGAGAATCCAGCCCATGAAAGCAGATGGGACAGTCCTGATGGCAGTGAGCTAAGGCTGGACAGAGCAACCGCCCATAGTAAGATCCTGGTGCTGGAGATCAGTGGCTAACAGGGAGGTGCTTGCCGCAAAGAGAGAAGCAGAACTGTGAGAAAGAAACCCTCCAGCCTCTGGCTATCTGTCCTCAGCCTCTGAACCCCATTGCAGGCACAATGCAGTCCCCTCTGCAGAGGGCTAAGAAGGGCCAGGCTACCAATCCTATGTCCACACGTGTGCTCACACAAGGCGGGGCCCTTCCCGGCCAGCCCCAAGGTATTTTAAGTACAGAGTGGCAGGGATGAGGGGATGTGTTGCATGGTGACTCATCCTGATAGCAGGGACAGCGCAGTGGCAGGCCGGGTTTGTGTTTGCAGTGCAAAGCAGGCAGAAGGCACAGATCTGGAAGGAGGCCTTGCAGAGGGCTGCAACCAGTCTCCAAAGCAGGGCTGCAGAAGGAGCCCTCACACCACCCCAAAGGGCACCACTCTGTGCTTGTTAGTGGACCCCCTTGGGCTTCCTAGTAAAACAAATCATTTCCCATGCTTCTGGTTTCTTAAAGAAACTAGACAAGCTGTACTGGGACAAATAGAAATAATCCTTTGTCATTTTCATTCGAGGTCATTCTGGCACTTTCCTATGTTACCAGGGCCCTGCATCCTGGCTCTGCATGAAGACCCAGCTTGAAAATAATAAAAAAGGGCCTTTTGATCAAGGCCTGGTGGTACGTTGGGCTCCTCACATCTGTGGGATTTGTTACCTGCTTGTTACCTTTGTCACTGAGTCCTGCCTGGCAGACTTCCAGAAGCTGCTTTCTGCCCTGCTGTGGGCATTTGTGCAGTAGCCAGGTGAGCTGGGTTCCTCTCCACCAGCTATGGCCTGTGCCAGGTTAGGTGTGTGGATAGTAGACTGAAGACATAGTGTTTTGCTGTGCTTGTCTTAGCAGAGCCACAGAGGGACCTGGTCTCTGTGGGAAAGCATGACTCCTCTGCATGACTGGGAGGTGGTAGGATGAAGTCCAGGGGGGAGGTGACGGACTTTCAGAGCCAGTCTGCCTCCTCCATAGTATTCTCCAATGTGGGTAAGTTGGTTTTGTTTTTCCTTTGGTAAACTATCTGGCACCAACAAGCAGTCCATCTTCTACACTTAAACAAAAAAAATAAAGTACAGTGCCTAAGTCAAGTATGCTAATCCCAAGTACTGAGAAGTCTGAAGGGGGAGGATTGCAAATCGGAAGCCAGCCACCCCAGGAAATGTAGCCAGATCCTATGTCAAAACAAAATAAGTAAAAAAGTTCCTGGGCTGGAGGTGTGGGTAGCCCAGAGGAAGAGCACTTTTTTTAACACGTGCAAGACCATGGGTTTAACCCCAGCACTGGTATGGGATGGGAAGAAGGGAAAGCTATGCACAGTAGCACAGATGTTCGAGCCCTACTTAAGCTTAATAGCATGACACCATCTCCAAGAAAAAGGTTCCTTCTATCTGCTTAAGAGCGACTGTGGATGCCCTGCTCCTTGCGAGGCTTCCTCACGGTCAGTGAGAAGCCATACCACGTGAAGCACATTCTCCTTTCCTCCAGGGACATCTTTCAATGAGATGAGGAGGCCATACTGTATTTTATGACCCGTTTTGTGCTGGAAGACTTGACGTCTTCTAGAGATAAAAGGGAATGTCTGTTTTATGACCTGCTTAATCTTCAAATTTTTAGTGCAACTTTAGTAGAAGGCCCAGGAGGTCATGGTAGTCAATGTGGATAAAATCCTTGAAGTAATGTGAGAGAGCCACCAGTCCAAACCTCTTGTCCCAGGAGACAAGGTAGTCAGTTAGTGAA